ATGCTCCACAATGAGAGTCCTCTGTAGGACACACCTATCAAAAGGCTTTTTGCTGAAATTTATTTGGCTTCTTATAGAATACTTTAACCTAGTACTGAATACATACTTCAAAATGTCAGGCAGTTTCAATGTAACCATGCTAACAAATCAAAATATAAACCAGTTGGCATCACCAAGCATAAATGTGTACACTAGCAACAACAAGGTGACTCATCAATTATTGCTATGAAATTCTATACCAATAAGCCTGCCTATTAGATATGATAATATAGATAAGCAGAAGATAAAACAGGCCTCCAGGGTCTCTCCTTTTGACCTGAGGACCTGGGAACTGGCCACTCTAATAGATAAGTACTTGCCAGGGAGACTCCCTTCATATATACAGCCTTATCTCTTTCACCCTTGTTTGCTTTTTTTGTGCCTTTTATCTCTTTTTTGCATATATTTTCTTCTGAAAGTACCAGCCATAACATGCCTTTACAGGGCAGGAGCTAGTACAGTACAGATTTGAAGTGTAGACTACTTGTGGATAAGGAATTAGTTGGGGTTTGTGGTAAGCAACTCTATGTCCAAGTAGGAGCTAATGATGAGTGGTGTCCCTCAGGAGTTTGTCTTGGGACTGGTACTCTTTAACAACTCTATCAGTGACATAGATGATGGGATTGAGAGCACCCTCAGCAAGTCTGCAGGTGACAGCACACTGAGGAGTGCAGGTGATGCAACTGAAGGAAGGGATGCCATCCAGAGGGACCTTGACAGGCTTGAAGAAGGCCCACAAGAACATAATGGAGCTCAGCAAGACCAAGTACAAGTTGTTGTGCCTGGTTCAGGGCAATCCCAGATATACGAACAGCCTGGGAGAAGAACTCAATGAAAGTAGCCCTAAGAGAAGGTCTTCAGGATTCTGGTAGATAAAAAAACTTACCATGAGCCAGCATTGTGCATTTGCAGCCTGGAAGGCCGACTGTATCCTGGGCTGCATCAAAAGAGGGGTGGCCAGCAGGGCTAGGGTATGTGATTGTTCCCCTCTTCTCTGCCTTCATAAGTCCCACCTGAAGTACTGCATCTAGGTCTGGGGCCCCCAGCACAAGAAAGATGTGGAGCTTTTGGAACAGGTCCAGAAGATGGCCACAAAGATGCTCAGAGAGCTGAAACACCTCTCCTACAAAGACAGACTGAGGGAGCTGGGTTTATTCAGTCTGGAGAAGAGAAAGTTCCAGGGAGACCTCATTACAGCCTTCCCATACTTAAAAGGAGCTCATAAGCAGGAGGGAAAACAACTTTTTACACAAGTAGATAGTAATAGGAATAGGGGGAACAATTTTAAACTAAAAAAGGATAGATTTAGATTAGATGTCTGGGGAAAATTTTTAACTGAGTGTGGTAAGGTTCTGGCATAGGCTGCCTGAAGAAACTGCGGTTGCCCCAACCCTGGAGATGTCAAGGATGGACTGGATGGAGCCCTGGGCAACCTGATCTAGTGCATGATTTAGTTGTTGGTAACCCTGCCCACAGTGAGGGAGTTGGTACTGAATGATCTTTGAGATACCTTCCTACTCAAGACAGTCTATGGTTCTGTGACAGTCACCTCTCAGCCATGACATTTACCTGCAAGATCTGCCCCTCTCCAAAGAGCACAGCTCTGCAATATTATGATTAGCTGTATCAGCTGGCACAAAATATACTTGGGCAATGATGTGTTGTGAAAAGGATCAAATGAGGTCAAAGAACTTTATAATCTGACCTGCTGTAAAAAAATATGACTCTGCACATTGACCTTCTTCATACTATACCTAAATGTGGATGTAATTGCTACAGATAGCAAACTTTTGAAATCAGAGCTGTGAAATCATAGTATGTATTTAGCACTGATCTACAGAGAAGTGAACAGGGGTCTTTTCAGCCCATACACGAGTCCAGGAACTGCAAGAAAGCATACCAAGCAGAGGGTCTGCATTTGGAAATCCAAAGTAATGAAATGCTCTGTGGATGAAGTAGTTTTGAGTAAGTCACATCACCTGATAGCTGGGAACAACTCAAGGTGCACCGATTGCAAAAGTCTCTTCTGCCTCTCCATTCATTCACACAGAATCACACAGAATTGGCAGGGTTGGAAGGGACCTCAAGGATCATGAATCTCCAACCCCCCTGCCACATGCAGGGCCACCAACCATTCCACCTAATGCTAGACCAGACTGCCCAGGGCCCCATCCAATCTGGCTTTGAACACCTCCAGGGACGGGGCATCCACAACCTCCCTGGGCAGCCTGTTCCAGCACCTCACCACTCTCTCCGTAAAGAATTTCCCCCTGACGTCCAAAATGACAAAATTCATCAAAATGACAATGTTGTATTGCACGGCTTTAGGTCAGGTAACCAACACAATTGATTTCACCTGCATATTTTTGACAACATCACTTATTTCCCTCAGTACTACCACCTGAGATGTATTTGAAGGGGATTGATGTTGTAACTAGCCTCAGTAGAGAGATCTGAAATTAAAGGAGATGAAAATGCTGCTGCTTTTTATCAAACTGGAAAGAGAATGGTGAGCTTGATGTGAAGGTGACAAGCAGCTCGATTTTTGTGTTATTCAAGAAAACAGAATGAAATCACTCACCAGAACAAAGATACAGACAGCATAAGGTAAGTCTGATACAGAGGCAGAAGCAGCCCAGGAGTGCACTGTTCACCTATCAAGCCATATTTTCCTCAAACTCCAGGTTCAAGACTGCTATAATGAAAGCAGTCTCTGTGAAACCCTGATGATAAAATGTGTGCTCCATCTTCATCGATAGCAGTGCCAAAGAACAGGACAAGAACAATGCTCAGTTAAGAGAAGCTATTCAGAGTCTGTGGAAGAGGTTATGCAACAGACACAGGAATTTTTTAGTACTAGCTTGCCATGCCTGTGTTCATCTGGCTCCAAACGTGTCAGCTGTACTCTATATATTGTGTTGTAATAAAGACTAAAGAGACAGTGAAAGCTGGAGGGAGAGCTTGATTTCATATTTTTCAAACCCACTCTCTCTTTCTGTTACATTAACACAGAAAGCAGAAGTTTGCATGCAATCCTGCAAGGTGCTGAGTACTCTCTTTTTATTTGAATTACTGCATACAAGATAGTGCAAACTTCCCAGAATAGGCCTTATTTTTAAGCATAAGCAAGATTTGTTAAGGAGCACTGATTTCCCCATGGATTTACATGGATGCTAAAAACAGAAGCTAGTATAAGAAGCAATTTAGATGAAGTAAAAGAATTGGAATTTGCCGTGCTACTGTATTGCTTCTGTTTTACACCTTGGTCATTTCCTTTGTGAATGATTAATTAGGCTCCAAGTGATTAGATTAGGCAAATGTGCTGACTTAGAGCTTAATAAAAACATATGAAGAAATTAAAGGGAAAAGACATAGTAAATAAGTAATATATTTCACAGTGAGCTTATTTTTGCTAGGCCAGGTAATAGTTCTCTTAACCTACACTAAATGCATGTGAAGTATGACTGCAAAATAACCTTAGAAATCTCTCAGAAGTTCAGACTAATGCACAGAAACAAAATTCATTATGCCTCCAAAATTATTTTGTGCACTGAAGTACCCAAAGTGAAATCTGTTGACAGAAAATATATTTTCAAGATTTAGACCATAAAGTGCGAACAGATCAAGAAACAAGGAAAAAAACATTGAGCGTGTCATCACTGAGAGATCCTTCAAATTCTATCGAAGCATCAATGTCCATGTGTTTCTCATGCCTTTCATTTTTCCAGTAGAAAGGGCTGGGACATCATGCAGTGGCCCATCTTCCTCAGAAATATGAGTACCTATTCAAAGCACCTAGCTAGAGATGTCCCAATGACCAATTCATTAATTATCTGAAAAAATCTCCTGAAAGGTTTCCCTGTCTCTCTTCTCATCCCTAGTGGTAGGGCACACATCTCCAGAGCATAACTGACATGATTCTGATAGCCTGGCCCTGCAGGACTGAGTTTACTGATGATACAAAGCATGTTTTATAGGCTGTACCTGTTTAAGATCAGTTTATTGCAAAACAGGTGAAAATATATAGGCTTCTTGACTTGCTGACTTATCTTTGACTGGTAGGCTGGCAATACTGCCAACGAAGAAAAACAAATCATTCATATTCTGTTTATTTTATTTTTTTCCTGGACATTTAATTAGAAACAAGCATGTGCAGAATTTGATAACATTCCTTACACTTTGTCTGTAATTTCAATGGGTCAAGGGTTCTTTGGTAGGACATCTCCATCACCTCCATTTCATCCTCGGTACACATGGCAGTCAGCAGCAATGTTTAAACCTAACCAGTTATTTATCACAAAACAAGGATCAAGAAATTTCTGAAGGTTTGATTTATTGTTCAAGAAAAAAAGAAAACAACAAGATTTACATGCAGGTTATGAAGTTCAGTTGAATACACTGAAGGATCTCAGCAGGATATCTTGTATCTCCCATTGAGATTTTCAGTGGGAATAGTGAAGTCACAGAATGGTTGATGAAAATAACATAAAGATGATTGAAGACTAGTTTACAACTGTTTTTCTTATTCCAGGAAATTTTTGAGACTTAGAGAAAAACAAACTAATAACCCCAAAAAGAAATCCAGAAAATTGAAGACTGTAGGTCCTGGCATCACACCAGTAAAGATTAATGTATGGCAATGAAAATGAAATTTGAAATATTAAACACCCTAAGATACTTTTATTCAGATTTGAGCTATTTATTTTCATGTGATTCATTCACATTTCTTAAGGTAATTTTGATCAAACATGGAGCTTTCAGGTGGAAAAATGCGCATGATGATTTCTACAGATTCAAACTTTAAAAAAAAAATACAATTCATAATGGGCAGTGAATTGAGAACTACATCTTTCTTGCAAGTGCCTTTATTTTGATGAATCTGCATTTTCTGTGGAAAGATTTAAAAAACTTCAACCACTTCTAGTCATAAAACATACAAGATAAAACCCACTCCTCTTACGGATATGACAGCTCAGAAAATGATTGTACCTCAGAGGATTGTACCTCTGTTTTTAAGATGTCTCAGGCTGAAATTGTGAAATGTTCAGAAAATTAGTTCCTTGACATCCCTGAAGCATTTGGAATCAACATAGAGATTTGAAAATACAGGCCACTGCATATATGATAAAATGAGAACCCAAAGTATTTCATTCACATAAAACAAGACACTGCTTCCAATGAAGTACATAGGTTGCCTCCTATTTATTTCCATGGAAACTACAACGAAGAGCACAATAACACTATTCGATACAGCAAATTCTCAGCTACAAAACACTATTTTGCAGCATAGTCATCACCAATAGTTATACATTTTTGCCAGTGATGAATAAAGGCCTGCATGCTGCATTCATAAAAACCTGAACCAACAGAAGTTACCCACTATTGCTGTCACCATTGCTGAAATGGACATCATAAAACAGGAGGCATTACTTTCTGAGCAGCCCTTATATAAGTTATTGAATCATATTGATCCTATTTTATGACAACATAAAATGATCGGTCTGACATTTTCCACAGTTAATATAATTTGACTATCACTCCTTTTCTTTCTCTGGAAAGCTAATAAATGACGACACACATTCTTGATGACGCTGCATTTCTGTTATTTATCAAATGACCTCTAATATTTCAGTTGCCATTATCAGCTAACTTGAAAAATCGATATCTGTGAGAGATTCCAAGATGCACAGCAAACTATATAAGCATGAGGTTTGTATTGCTGGTCTCAATTTGCTACTTCAAACCATCTGACCTAGAGGTTATTCTTAAACCTTCTAGTCATTTCACTGCTATCTGATTTGCAGGAATCGTAGGCTTAAGCAAACATGTCCAACCTCAGTGAGGCAGAACTCATTCACAAGTTTAAGGGGATTTCCTTTACCACCAGGTCTTCTCCAGAGCTTTTAAATTCCTTGGATGCTTTTGATGCTAGAGAAGATGATGTCCTTTTGGTTTCCTACCCCAAATCTGGTAAGTTCTACTTCTATATATTAACTGCAAGATGTGTCAATAGTTCGTTTCATGTTCTCTGCTTAACTTACTTGTGAAATGTCTGTAAAAAAAACAAACAAAAAAACAGGGAAGGATGTTTGAATATGTGGGTGTGTTATTCTCTCAGTCAGTATTAATATAACAAAACAAATTAAAAAACAAACAACAAAAAAAAAACAACCAACAAACCAAAGCAAGTGCAACAACAACAAAAAAACGCTATTTGTTTAAATAGATTTTGGTTCTGTAATACAAAATATTGTCAGGTGTTTTATATATTCAGAAGCAAATATTTGTTTCTTGTAAGCAAAATCTATACTCAAAGAATTTTCCTGAGGACTCTATGCATTTAATTATGAGCAAGTGAAGAGGTGTATGGCTCTTGTCTGTAGATACTTCTTCTTCCTTCTCTCCCCAACACTCTCACACACAGAAACTCACACCAGGCTGGAAGCTCAATTAGTTATCTTCCCAGTAGCCACAGCTACTATAATGATTCCCTCCCCCCATCCATAAAAAATGGATTATTTTAAAATAAACAATAGAAATAATATAATCAACTCAGCTAACAAGCAGTCTGAATTTTATTCCATGTATCTAATGAGTTTGTTTTGATACAAATATCAGTGCTTTTCACAGAGTTTGTAATTCAGCCACAACAATAATTTTTCCAGTATTTATAGATCTAGAGCCAATAGGAGTACTCAATTACACAGTTTCTTGAATCTTGGGGTTTAGCAAACTGTTCTCACATGCAGACTGCACGTTCCATATATTTTCTCATTAACAAATCTTCCTTCCTTTCTCTTCTTCTTTCTTTTTTTTTTCCTTAAAACCAATTTTCTGAAGGCACTCACTGGCTTGCAGGAGTCATAACAAAGCTTTACAATACTCCCGTTACATTAACAACTCCCATTGAACTTGGAGACATGTCCAAACTGGAGGAACTGAATCAACTGTCATCAAAGAGAATCATCCCGACACACTTAGACTACAACATGTTGCCTCAACATTTTAAGAATAAAAAATGCAAGGTAAGTCAAAAAGTTATAAAAGCTGTAAGATATATTAAATGTCTGTTAGGCATCTATTCTGTCTTGTTGATCCTTAAACGCTTTAAAATGACTTACAGATCCCAGAGGTGGTTTGCTGTGTACATGAGAGGCTCATAAAAATCAGCTCTGTGCCTCAGATTTTATGTTAGAAGTTCTAAGTTTCAGGATTATCCAAATCCAGGCTTTTGGGACAAGTCTAATTTCAATGAAAGGCAAAAATTGACATTCTGCAGCTGCTGTGTGAATGTGAAGAAGTGAATGGTTTTATATGTTAGGTATGGGAGTTAGTTTAAATCAGGAGTTAAAAGAAAACGGTCCTTTTCATAAAGCATAATCGTTACCCATCTGTAGGAAACATACTTTTGTCTACAAGATAGTGTTTGCTAACCACTGCTTATTTCTGCTTAAACAGAACAAATACATTTCTATCTTAATGACATAGTCATTAAGGATGGACAAATCCTGAAGGAAAGTGTTTTGACACTGGAACCACATGTGAAAATGCCACATTTATGCATGCAGCTCCTACAAAATAAAGAAAGAACATCATTAATAACCATATCGTCTTCATTTACAGATGATCTATATCAGCAGAAATCCAAAAGATACTGCAGTTTCCATGTATCATTACTACCGAGAGAATCCAAACCTTCCCACTGTAGATACCTGGACTGCTTTCCTTGACTTGTTCTTAGAAGGAGATGGTAAGGATAGGTGTTACGTTTTCTTCCTTCAGCTCATATTACTATTATTAATATTATATTATTATTATGAACAGAAACAAGAAATATTAATTATGTGAAAACTCCTTGCTGAACTCCTAATTCACACATCCTTGGATTTATTATTTTTCCAAGATAAATTCTAATGCTAAACAAAGAACAAGTAATAGTATATTGTCTTCAGCCTTTCAAGGATGTATTCTGACAAGTGGCTGCAGGCTGGTGGGGTAGACATTGTTTCAAGATGCCCAGAGGGCAATATATGGCTTAGTGTCCTGCAGAAGGGCAGGTGGCACACACGGAGGTTGTCTCCAGGCTGCTCAGAGAGCCTAAGTTTACGGGCTTAGTGCCTTCTCTAATCTTGAAAGTGGTCTTGGGTGACCCTTCAAAGGGAGTCTAGACGCTTTCATAAGCACCTCTGCACATGCTCTGCCTGATATGTTGTCTTAGTCCTGGGGTCCAGAGACCAAGGACACGAGTGAGATTTGTGTGAGTGGCAGCAGTGACAAGGAAGCTGACAACTGGACTATATTCTGGTTATCCACCCCATTTTTAGTGTTTTATTACTCCTTTGAGGATATGTGTTCCTACCATACACCCACAGTGGTGATAACAGCAACAATGATAGACGAGCTTGAAAAATATCAAAGCAAACTGCCAGTGCAGTCCTTGTCAGCTTATATCAAGGCTCTGGAAATCAGTCTGCATTTTCTGCTGATTTGTGGATCCTGTGTTTCTTGTTCAGAGCAGCCCTAAGACACATGCTTCGGTGATGTGCAGGATCTTTGCTTGCTTACTAACACCCCTGAACATCAATTAGTAAAAAAAAGAAGAGGATAGTACCAAATTTTAAAAGCATCTCCCATTTGTCTGTGAATTAATAGTCTTCTGCTGTTTTCAGTGTGTTCATGCATGGTACAAAAAGATAACTATGTTGGTTACAACATAGATTTATGTAAGAGATGATACTGGGAGAGAGGTTGTCATTTTTGCTCTTAATAGAAACATACAAAGACCATGTTGCTTGGCTCGGATCCTGCAGTATACTTGCAGAGTTAAGAGAGAACAGAGTTAAGCTGAGAACAGTGGTGAGGACACCTAGAGAAAAGGGATGTTGTCCTCAAAACTTTTTGCTGTACCCCCAAAGCCAAAAGGGTCTCTGACTTTCAGGTATTGGAGGCAGGATGGCTCATCCCTATAGCATGAATCCACAGAGTAATAGCTCAAGAACAGCACAGACAATAGAGACAATAGTGGTCTTACAGTCTAAGAGCTTACAGGACCTAAAAGTCATCGTTCCTTTTTTTTTTTTTTTTTAAATGGGCAAACTCGGTTTCTTTGGATACTTGTCCTGATAAATAGGTTATCACCCTGATAGAAACAGGAAAGAAAAGCAGCAGGTACTCCAAACCTATGTGTAGACTCCGTGACTCTGGAAGCCTTTCCATTTTGTAGGACTGGGCACTTGCACAGATGTGGGCTAAGGGGAAGCAGGTGCATTTGTTGAGCACATTCCCAGTAGGGTTTAGCAGGCTTTAATTGCACACTGTGGTGCACAGGTGCTCTGCAATTAGACAGGGTTTTCTGGAAGCAGGTGGATACAGGCTGAAGCATTCAGCAAAATACTTAAATATGTCTCAAGGTTGCAAACAAAATGATGTCCTTTACGATACTTAAATATTTTACTTTTATGGTAAAAGTATAATGCAAGATCGCAGTTCACAATTGCTCTGTCCATGAAGTGCCCATTATCCTGGAGGAGGCTTTCAGCTCATTTGTCAATGCAATCAATCTCGTCTTTGAACCAGAAGAGTCAGAATAGCTTTTTTAAAAATAAAGCTGAAATTTAGCTATCTTCCTATTATTCAGTAAGGGGAGCATTCAGACAAAGCAAGTACTGTGAGTCAATTATAAAGCCATGAGTTACCTGTGTGGTTGCCTGACTGTTTTATTTTTATAATAAATAATTTTTCTATCAATTCTTCCCTGACTTTTGAAAATATAAATATTTCTCCTCTGCTAGAGCAATACTGTGTGCTCCATTTAACAGACTCCTAATTTTGTTTCCTAGTGTCATACTTACACTTACAATACATTAATTTTCTAGTTTATTTTCCTACTTTTTTTTTTTTTGACCACAAACCTACAGATATTTCAGATATTTGCTGAGATGCTCAGATCTTGTTGTGCCCATACATTTGCCTTCACGACAGGCCTGTCCCTAGATTTGGATTTATTTCTACTGTGACACTATGTTCCATAATAATCTGTCACTTTGATATTAAAAAAAAAAAAAATCCAACATGAATGGTAATTTCTTTGGGCTGTAAATTTGAATCACTTCACAAAAAGAATTTAATCAGATTTAGAGGAACATAGCGTACATACCAAGAAGGAATCATTCCCCTAAAAATTTGTGAGATATTGAGTTATTTATTAATCAAATATACATGAATCTCTATGGGTTTTCTTTTCAGTTGTCTGTGGATCCTGGTTTGACCATTTTCTAAGTTGGGAAGAACATAAAAATGACAAAAATATACTGTTTTTGTTTTATGAAGACATGAAAAAGGTAAATATGCACACTGTTCCTATTTTAGAATGAGTTGCTGATAAATAGAAATAATCAAAATATCAAGGATGAAATTCTAATGAAAATAACAATTTCCATGTCAAAGGAAAGTCTGATTATCACCTCAGAAATATAAAAATTTTATTCTTCCTGTATATCAGAATCTCCCTAAGATTGTGAAGGAAATCAGCATATTCCTGGGCATAAGCATCAGTGATGAAGATATCCAAGATATCTGCAAGAAATCATCCTTCTCAGAGATGAAAAAGGACACAGAAAAAGAAAACAGTGACCCCAGTCACACAGTCTGTGCCCTGACATCCAACAGGAAGTTAATTTTCCGAAAAGGTAAGTTTATTGATCTGACTTAATACAGAATCATCAACTGGCACCTATCCAACAGAAACCTTTATAGATTTGAAGACATTTTGAGTCACTCCCAGGAAACAGCAATTGGATTCTCCAATTTGCCTTTTGAAAAAACATTCTCTAAGTTCTTCAGTTGAAAATGCATGCTTATGCTAGAGAAACATGGAGGGAGTTCTTACGAGTTTGCTGTATATGAGCTTTGGAGCTTCAAGGAAAGTTCACAGAACATTACTCTTTATCTGAGTTTTTGTATCTAAAGTTTACCCTCAGTCTCTCACAAGACTCTATGTGTCTCCTCTCGAATTACGAGTGAAGGTCACTTGGTTTGCTAGAATGGAAAAGGTGCATTTCTTAGGAAGGAATCTGCTGGTAGCCTTTATCCTCTGTACTCCCTGTTATCTTACTGAAATGTTCCCAAAAAAGAAATATGCTGACAATGACAACAAAAGAATGAATGACTCAAATCATCCTGTGACCTAACAGATCACCTTAAGTTCTTAGCCAAACTGGGATCTGCAGTAAAACCTTTAGCAGTTTGTAGCTCATATGTGACTTAAAAAACATGTAGAGGAGCTGTTTTCTTGCTACTGGGTTTTATATGCTGACAAGGGTGAGATGAATTTCAGCCAGCAACTATTTGCCTCTACTAAAAGAGTCCAGATAGAGACCTTTAACAGCAAACATCTAAGATGAGGCAAGATGCCTCTGCTGAGATGAGCAAGAGTTCTATTTCCATCCTGAAAACCTGTTACTCTTCATTGTGCCTCTTAGTATTGCTGGCACTGCCAGGTGACACATTATGAGAAACAAGCCTTAGGGCTTAATATGGATGACGATTCAGCTTCTCCCATCAAAGTCTCACCAAATCAATAAAATAATTACTCATAATCATGATCTATCGTGACATATCACAGAGACTACGGTTGATAATACAATAACAATTTGTGCCAAGTGCAGCATTAATAAAACTGGTCTGCCTTTGATTTGTTTCATTGCTATATATAGCCAGATTCACTGTTCTTTTACTGTCCCTGCTCCTCCAGGTACTGTTGGTGACTGGAAGAACCATTTCACTCCAAAACAGAACTTACAGTTTGATGAAGTATTCAGTGAGAAAATGAAACTCAGCAAAATGGCAAAGCATCTCACCTATGAATTCTAATTTCATGGGAAGAACAATACTTACCAAAAATGCAGACAGAGAAATTGTTGGAAAATCTGGATGGGAGCTAAGAGAAGTTCAAAGAAAAACAGCTGCTCTTGGAACTGATGCCATGAAGATGGAAGAAGCACTGACCACCTTTTTACCTTGTTTACATAAATTAATCTTATCTATCAGCCTTACTTTTCACATTGTCAAACAATAGAAATGTGGAGAAGGCTTGTAAAATGGAGATTTGGGGACAGGAAAATTCTGGCACAATGCTGGAATTGAACTCAATCAGAGGACAGATATACATGGTTTGATAGCCAGATGTCAGACCCAATTTTTTTTACAACTGAATCTACTTCAACATTTATTTATTTTTTGCTCTAGGAATATACAAATGGACTTCTTGGATCTGGTTTAAAAATGTTACCTAAATACTAAGAAAAAAAAATCCTGTAATAATCTGTATGTCTAAAAACACATCATAAAGAACGACTACTTAATCCTAGACTGAACTCCTTTCTCATGTACTGTGATTTGGAAAGTGCCTATTTTATCAGACTTTGTTATTGATGCTAGAATTGAAAAACGTAGCAATACATTTGAAGATTTGCAGTTAAGTTTGTGTATAAAATTTTGGTTTGTTTTGTTTGATTTGCTTGTTGTTTTTTGTAACAGTATGTTCTTCACTGTTGTAACTTATTTCTCTGTTAGATATTGTATAATATCTGTATTTTAAATGAAACTGATATAAATCCATGCAGATTTCAGCACTGTATGTTTTTTCATTCTGCTTTCTTCCTGTAAAATGCCTATTTTCAGTGTTTTGATGAAACCATTTTATTTCACAGCCCTTGTTCAGTAGAATACAATAGTTTCACTAGGACAAACAGAGCAATATATGGAGTCACTTTAAAGCAAACAAGACATGTTTACCCAGCCCCGAAAAGACAGGTATTCTAAGAACCAGCTGTCTGTGTTCACAGCTGGGGACTATTCTGGGAACAGAGTGAAGACATTTCTTCTGATTTACTGAGTGATGTGGTTACTATCTGCACCTTCAATTTGCTTTGCAGGCTAGCATTAAGTACTCTGCTCCCTAACCAGTTGTCACCAACCACAAAATTCCCAGTAAAAACTGTCTGAAAAGAAACTCAAGCAGACAAGCACTGTTACTTTTGATTCGATTCCTTTTTGCTTTTCTCATCCTTTGGATGAGCTGTTTCTGAAAAGTTGTGGTAAGACCTTACTGATAGTGAACAATTCATGCTTTCTCTAGACACACAGCTCTCTCAATTCACACCTTGTTTGCAGAAGGTAACATCAATACTGACCAGTGTGCATCTGCATGAATGATACAGGTAGTTACATGCTGAGGACATAAGTGAGAGGTAAGCCTATTTAGCAACACTCCATTTCCATATACGAGTTCAATCCAAGGCAGATGCTGCTCTGAGCTCTGTTTTATCCTAACCCCCCATTTGGAAACCAGAAGCTTGTTTGTGCTGCTTTGCTCCTCTGACCCTAAAATCTCTCTTTTTAAAATGTCATGAACAAATATTATCCTTGGATGCCTTTCAGGTGTCCTTCTTCCACTATTAATAAATGGAAAGAGATCAGCTAATGTAGATGTGTTTATTAACTGAGTACGGCAATGATTCTAAAGGTCACACAGCATTTGAGGAAAGGGAATAACAATGTTGGTAGAACTTCTGAGACACAGACAAAGGCCCACAAAAGCCTTTCCCCCATCTGAATTCAAGATCTCCTTGAAAAGGAGAAATAAAGAAATCCAAACATCAACTTCCTTAACTGGAAGGAAGAAAAGCAACAGAGAAGTGAAGGAAGGCTTTTAATTTGGGCTGGCAGAATGAGGCAGTAGGAGGCACACTGATTTGCATAGCTTTACATAGCATTCATGTATGTGCTCACAATACCGTGCTGTGCAGAAGGGGACAGGGTGTGGACATGACATCTGGAATAGAGAGAGGGCTAAAGCATATAGTCCTGAACTGGCTGAAGGGATACCATTATATAAAGCAGTGAGCAGTTTGCCTGCTGCCTGATCTCCGACATTGCATTTCAGAGCTAAACGGACATTTAAAATAAAGTTTCTTTCAGAAACACCTTGTAATTCTATAGCATTTTTCATCTCCAGTTGCTTTAAACACAATTTTACTCTAGTCAGAGAATGCAGCCAGTATTGATGCCGAGTGCAGCAGCTGGCTGGCCATGAGTGACAGCCTGAGAAAGCAAGCTGCTTGTGCAAGTAAAGCTCCTGCTAGCAGGTCATCCTAGGCATAACAGGCTGGCTGCACCATGCAGTGCAGCAAAGTTGGCCTATGTCAGAGATCCAGGAAGCTGGGCTGGGCACTTACTGAAGGATGGGGGTATATAATGGCATCTACTGGCAGCCAGGGCATCCCAGCTGTTGCTATGCTTACCATTTCTTTCATCTTCTTTCCTTTGCTCTTCCTACTGTTATTCCCACTCCTCTTACGATGGTTGTAACATTCCATCACTAATTCAAGCTGAATTTTTTAAAGAATCATCAATCTGCTTCCACATGTCATTTTGGTCAGCTGTGGAGATGTTCTAAAATCTTCAAAACTTCCACAGTAAGACATTGTAAATTGTTTTCTTCCTTTTCTGTTTTTCTTTTTCTTTTCTTTTTCCTAGAGCATTTAGAACTTTTTGGAGAGAGAGATAAATAGAAAAATACTGCTCCAAAATGTACCTAGACCACAGTAACTCTAGATCTGGGAGAAACAAAGACCTGTGAAATCTCTATTATGATGTTTACAATACAGTTTACCTATTTGGGTAATATATTTCAACAGAGAGAGGGCTCTTCTGAAGATTGATTTAATTAGTGAGGACAGCATTAAAAATTTATGCCATCAGAGCCAAGAAGTGAGAATTACGCCTGCTCTTGTCAAAGTTAGCTTGCTTTACCAAGGCTTACCTGGCCTTTGTGTCAGATGAAAACTAGAGCAAGACCACTTGAATGGCTAATGAGAGGGAGATCAACACAGAGATTTCACACAGATTTTCTATAAAAAGTCCTTCCCCAGCTTTCCTGTAGGCCCCCTTCAGGTACTGGAAGGCTGATGTAAAGTTTCCTCTCAGCCTTCTCTTCTCCAGGCTGAAGAGCCCCAGCTCTCTCAGCCTGTCCTTGTAGAGGAGGTGCTCTAGCCCTCTGATCATCTCCGTGGCCCTCCTCTGGACCTGCTCCAACAGCTCCATGTCCTTCTTATGTTGGGGACTCCAGAACTGGACACAGTACTTCAGGTGGGGTCTCATGAGAGCAAAATAGAGGAGCAGAATCCCCTCCCTTGACCTGCTGGTCACACTTCTCTTGATGCAACCCAGGATATGGTTGGCCTTCTGGGCTGCAAGCACACACTGCCAGCTCACGCTGAATCTTTCATCAACTGATGCTCTCAAATCCTTCTCTTCAGGACTCCTTTCAACCCATTCTCTGCCCAAACTGTATCTGTGCTTGGGATGCCCTGACCCGGATGAAGGATCTCACACTCGGTGGGTACACGCACTGGGTTTAGACAAGGCAGAGATGCTCAGGGGATCAAAACAAGTGTATACTTATATCCATTTGTCATCTAGAAAAGTAAACATGGTGGACAACAGAGAATTTCCGTGGGATTTTCCTCACAATCATGAGATAGATGAGAGAAAATATTCAGACACAAATCACAAAGAGCCAAGGACACTCTAGCTGTGAAAACTACTGGGGACAAGAAGGGAGGGAATCCAGCCTTACAGAAAGGGCCAAACGTGGGGATGAAGGCTGTTTCTGAAGGAAGACATTCAGAGAGGGAGGAAAGGACTGTTCATGGCCACCAGTTCCAGCCTCGCAGGTGACCACAGACAGCTTTCTTTCGTGACGCAACCAACAACTACGAGAGATAATTCTGCAGTAACTTTCCTAGCGGTTTTGGTAGAAGACAGTCCTCATTTTTATCCCCAGCCCTGCGTGCCCCAGCGGACAGGCCGTAACACGGCACAGTGACTGGGCGGGCTGTGCTGGGGGCCGCTGGGAACAGGCTGAGCACGGGGGAGCGGCGGCACCTTGTGGCCCGGAGAGCACCGACAGCTGCTCGAGGGAAAGCCACAGCGATGGGAAGCCACGAAGTCACGAATTACACTGCGAGTTCCTCTTTTGAGGGCTTATTGATCCTACAGGCTAGCGCTGAGTGGAGAAATAGCCTTCCTGGAAACCGTTTGCAGCCCCTGAGACACCAGACAGGTGTCTGCTCCAGCACGCCGTCCATCCAGCAAGCTCTGCCGGCAGGAAGGGACGCAGCATTTGTTCTTCACTGACATCTATCGACTGCAGTGACTTAGTTGCAAACCCCTGCACCGCCATGGGAGTTCGTTTGCACAGGGCTCATGAAGCTCAAAAGCAGAAACGGACTATGAAGGGAACCAGGCAGAGGTCTGAGGGGAGCAGGCCGGTCGGTTTCCAGGTGCTCAGTGGCAGTCCTGATGCTCAGCCTGCTTACAACGTCCTTGTTTCTGATTGCTACGTCTGCAAGAGTCTGGGGATGGTCAGTCTGTAACCACTGAGAATCTACACAGAGTGGTGGGGGGGTATGACAAACTGTAGGCATATAAGCAAATATTAATGGCCAAGAGAAATAAAAGCAGATTTTCCTTTTCTGTCTGCAAGACTTTGCATTGTAACAAAGAATAACTGGGGTCTGATGGTTTTTTTTGTCAATTATGACCTTGGTGAACTACCTAAACCTAATCCAACAGTCAGGCAGTATCACTGCTATTCAATGCAGCTGCTTGCCTAACTGTTTAAGAGGGATGAGGAATTAGTTGCAGCATTGCCTGCTGGATAAATTTACCTACCTTACAATAAAAAAATGGCACAGTAGGACTTCATTGGCAGGTGAATGAAGTGCAGCACGAAGCCGGCTCATGTATCACTGCTAGCCGAGCTCAGACACCAATGACAGCAGAGTCAGAGTTAACTAGACTGAGTTACCTTGCTTCTTGGCAGAGGCATCAGTAACCTGCAGCATACTGTGCAAGGCACAGATCCAGTTAGCTTGTTATTCTCTATATTGTCACTGCCAGCAACCTTACCTTGAAAGCCCCCCAAATCTCCTAACTTTCATTATAAATCAAATGCAGTGCTCTCTAAACACACAAGCAAGAAACGTGGGGAGCCTTACTCTTTTACTAACTGCAAGGTGCTTACTGGCAAGATGATAAAAATCTGGCTGTGTATAAAGCAAACCAGAGCAAGAAGTAAAAAAAAAAAAAAAAACAGTATGGCTTGTTGTCAGCTCAGCTTTTTTTATGAGACTGCACGAAGAAACAACTATGTAGATGTGCAGATGTGTCAAGCTAGAACTAGAATTTGTTTGCAAGTCATCAAATTCAGTTTAAAACCCCTTCGTGCTCTTGTCTCATTCAAGTGTAACTCCATATCCTTTAAGAGAACACACAGCGGCATTCATAGAATCAAATCCAAAAACAGATCACAATAAATACTTTGAAGAAATCTTTAGGTTTATTAAGTCAAATGAGTGGAGACTTTTAATATCCATTTACATCATTAATCTATTCCATTCACAAGCTTTTGGATCTGGCTTCATCCAATCAGTTGGCTGGGCATCGCTGATAGAAAGGATTCACTGGTTACATGTCCCCTTCCAAAGCTAAGGCTGCATTGCTGTAGGTAAGATGTAATAAGGGAAAAAAGGTGGGAGAATAAAAGTATCTAAGCTCTTAAATGGACTACAACTACAACCATGGTCTCTCTGGGGATGTAACCCTTCACTATCTCCACATACAACTTCAATATGAGTAACCATGCTAGCTCAGATGTTTGTCAGTTCAAACTAGAAATTTGTCTGCAAGTGTACATGAACAAATAGGACAAGCACATGATATTCTCCTGAATGTTTTTCCAACCTCCAATTACATTTTGTTTGAAAACTTCCTGTGCAATTTACCATGTCTGTGACCAATGGATACCAATTTAGCTGATGTCATCACATTCTTACAGTTTCTGTGCTCAATTTTGCTTTATTTTATTAAGTTGTTTTGAAGATTAGATGATTGATACCTAGTAGCAATAGTAATGCCATGTTCTTTTCCTTACTGTGTCAGAGGCATGCATTGCTACTTCAGAATGAACCACTGATACATATTGTGAAATAAGAATAAAAACGCACCTGGAAGCCTCCCACATAAGAAACAAGAGGAAAAAACCAAGGTTCAGAACCTGAGGAAACATATCATGTTTCAGACGCATGGAACACAAGGACAAAGGTTGTTTGAAGTGTGCTGAGGATTACTGAGTTTCTGAAAGCCACATATAGCCCCAGAGATACATGAGCCGCAGATGTTTGGAGAGTATGGGAAAATTAGAAAGAACTGGCAAGCACAACATGGCAAATTTAAGTTTTTTGGGCATTTACTTTTGGTCACTCTTCATTTCTTGAATAGTCTTTCCCTGTTCCTCTTAATTTTATGGATATGTAACATAACTCCCTTCAGTCAACCTTCCAAAGTGAAGAATTCTTACTCGATTATTGCTCATACAGAAGTTGAATTCTTCCTTTTATCACCTATTTTACTCTTGTACAATCCTTTAGTTCTACAACTTTTCTAATATGTAAGAAACCAAATAACCAGTATTCAGGATACATTAAAATCACTGATTAATACAGTGGAATGATGATTTCTGTCCTTTTTACTCTATACCATTTTTCGAATCATTCCTAGAAACTCACGTTTCATGCACAGTTGAATGATTTTGCTCCACTGGATGTGTCTTTCTATTGCTCTTGTAACACTGACATTTAGGATAATTAGTCCTGCTGGGTATCCTGTATTTCTGGAAACAGGAATTAATTCTTAAAGAGAATATTAACAGAAAACATATTACATATGAAGGTTAAGTTTATATAATGGGATAACCATACAGACACAAACACTGAAAGTTTGTCTCCAACAGCAGATAAGGACAAAGATACTGGGTAACCGACTATGCACTGTGTGATTAATTTAGGCACCAATTAAATCTGTCTGTTTTCCTAGGGTAAATTCATATCACATAGTCTTGGAAGCATACAATTTGCAGTATACAAATCACTCTGAGACCAATCTTATTCAAAGGGCTAAAGAAAATTATTTCAAATTTCATTTAATTGGCAATATTTTTAAAATAGCCTACTATAAATTATTACATAGTTTATCCTTATAAGTTGTCACAATTATGATAAATCTCCTATATTAGCTAAAAGTTGGGGGAAATATCTTAACAGACTTCTAATTGATTTTTGAAGACAGTTTGAAAAAACAAATGTGCACTTTTTTTTTTTTCAAGTCTAATGACCAAAGCAACATTATTCCAAAATTAGCTCACTATAAGAAAAATGACCACTGAAATCTAGTCTAAGTAAACTACACATCTAAGGTGAAAGGCACCTCCAGTGCAAGGGTAGTGGAAAAACAGTCAGCAAATGGTACATCTGTCAAGATTGGCTCAGGATTTCCTTTCATGGTAAAATTCATCATCTCAATCTCTACTACTCTGTTACACCTAAACCCTCCATATGATTGAGGAGCTTCCATAAAAATAGAGCAATCAAGGCATCTCTTGGCATATTCCAATTTCATAGTCAGGCTTTCCCGATATTCCAATGTAGAGCAACACAAATCGGAACCGTTCAGGCAGTGGATTTTGCCTCCTATATCCTCAGACTGCTTTTATTTTGTAAAATTTCTCGAGTTCTTTTATTGCACAGTGTCTTCCGACACGTCCAATTAAAACTTATACCAGATTTTTCTCAAAGGAATTTGCCAAAGTGAAAACACGTATCAGCTACCATTTCTTTTTGCTCATTACACTCATGGAATTTTCTGCATTTATTTTTATTACATGCAGAGATTTGGCATAAGGATGCACAGTATTCACAGTACGTTCAGCAAGTAGCTGAATCATTAGAAGAGCTCTTGATTTAAACAGAAACCTACACATAGTACAGACGACTCTTATTTCTATTACAGTTGCACTTAGTCATGCTTTTGCTTTCTCTTACATAAAAGGAATGGGAGTCGAGTTCATCGCAACTTCTCTAGATCTATTTATTCACAGGAAACTGTCCTTGAACACAAAGTTAGTAAATACGTTGGCTATGACATGGTGAAGTAAATAGGAGCTCAGCCAATTTTAAATGACGTTATTAAACTGAACTGTTCAAAAGATCTGGACTTCTACAATTTATTACATTGTATATGTGCGTAAAATGATTCATTGACCTATACCAAAGTTCATAGTTCTGTCCAAAACACGGTGCTCTTGTTATCCAAGGAATTTATCTAGTGCAGAGCCCTAAAACTCAATGAAAGGAATTATTTAAGTGATAACTGAAGAGGGCAATAGTGCAACTAATTCACTTTTCAACTATTCACCTACTTACCTTACTGCTACAGGTAGTAAAAGATTTTTTGACTTAAAATTTTGCTTTGGAAAGGGAAGTAAACACAAAGTTCATCAAGAAAAAGCAGTAAATCAGTAGATCTTATTTTGGAAAGAGATACAGGAAATCTTATGCTGAGAAACATAAAATAAAGTGATTAACTATTATCATTCATCTTGACAAGAATTGCCTATATGGCCATGATTTTATTTGTTTTTTATTATTTTTAAGCCTAACCAAGGCTGAGCCCGACCCATTAGTAATACAAGGATTGAAAACAGATGTGTATTTTCAATGTCAGCTCTACAGATGTTTACAAATCACTGAGTTCTCCAAATCAAAGCCCAGTAAAAATTGTATTTTACATAAATACAAATGTATACACACCAACTTTAAATTAATGTTAAATATAATCTGAATATATTTTTACATGAACCCAAAAATATCAATTATGATTTTTTTTTTCCAAAGCAATTCCTTTTCCATATGATAAACATTAACAATTTTTTTAAACCTCACTAGCAGCTGTAATGAGGACTCCATATGAAGAAACATAGTTTTTGCAAAGGAAAGATTCCAAGGTTAATAGGAGATTTAGTTTCAAATTTGGGGCATTTGGTTATGTTAATTTAAGCACTTAAATAAAACCTCATATAACCAGATTCAGAGGTAAGAGGCATAATTCCAAATGCCACTTAATCATATATCAGCTTAAATTGAACACATGCTTAAATATTTTTCTTAACTAACATTAACTAGTTTTACACTAACTCAACTTTTTCAAATACAGGATATGCTTCAGCATATGCTAGAACTCTTCTCTACTGGAGAGACATGCGTCTCAAGAAAAGTTAGCATATGACTACAATATCATACTGACATTTGATAGAGGAAATGTACACAAAATGACCACAACTTACAGAACAAAATTTTTAAGAGTAGAATTACAAATCCACAAATCGCAAAAAAAATCTTTGTTCCCTGCATATATCTGGATTATAAAATAAAGATACATCATTCTTGTAGAACAAATGTGATGATTAAGAGTAGATTTACAGGACACTATTTCTGTACTATTTCTTCAATTGTATTAAATAGCTTTTAAAATAATCATAAATACAATCATGAATGTCAGCACTTAAAGTAGAACCTTAAATTAGAGGGAAATATTTTATAACTCTAATACAGTGAAAAACTGTTTTAGGAAAGGGAGAAGCAGAAATATAGAGAACAACTATGCTATTGTTTTTTTCATTCGTTCCTTATTTCCACTTCTGCTGTTCTCATTTTCCCCCTGTATCCTTTCCTGCTGAATTCACTTCTTCCATTTGCTTTCTTGCAGAGTTCACTTTTTCTAACAAGAGGAATATGTGTTCTGCAAACTCCCGGATAGCACCACAGCCTCCACTGCTTTTACAAATGTAACCAGCAGCTTTCTGTGCCAGTGCACAAGCGTCAGCGGGCACACCACTCATACCAGCTTTCTTCAGGCATTCCACATCAGATTCTTCATTTCCTATTGAAAAAAGCGACAGATATGTAAGAAAAATACCACAGAGGAGAAAAACGGAGAAAAAAAATATTGATTTTGCTGTTTAAATATTAATCTAGTTATTAGAATTTCTACTTTTTGCCACATTTTTTTTAATCTGAGAAGCCCAAAAGCACTTCAAGTACACATTTTTAGAAAATCCCAGTGATAAATGTCAACACTGATCATACTTTACACATAATATTCAAGCAAGAGTTGTACTTTTCAGAAGAGTAAAATTGTTTGAGCAACTGAGTAAGCACCTCCAGGACTCTACAACTAAACTGTCACTGGAATATGGTTTTGGATGGGATCACATTGCTTTCAGTTTTTATTCTGTGTGATTTGTTTCTAATTCAGAGTAGTATCTGTATGGTACTAATCTGAAATCTAGTATTAAATAGTATAATCTAGTATTAAGTGTGGAAGTTGGTGGCCCTGCATGTGGCAAGGGGGTTGGAGATTCATGATCCTTGAGATCTTTTCCAACCCTGGCCATTCTGTGATTCTGTGAAATGAATTACAATCAATTTAGAATTGTGAACTATACCTGTATACTTCCATAATATGAAAAGCTTTTCTAAATCACATTATAAACTTAACTAATATATCACACTTAAAAATTCAATAGTGATTCATCATTGCATTTAACACTTAGATTGTACCCAAATAAGACTTAAAATACGCATCTGCTTTTGGTGATAATGTGTTACTGCTTGCACTTTAATCCCACTAAATTTAGTGTAATAGCAAAGGCCAAAATGTTTTAAAGAGAGAAACTGACCTAAATAAGCAACTTCTTTCCAGCTCAAGCCAATGTCTTTTTGCCAGTTCTCCAGGACTTGTAGTTTATTTGTCGCATTAACTTCTGCTACACATCCCAGCTGCATAGCTGACAGGGATTTTGAACAATCTCTTTCAGAGATGAGTCGAACCTATTAAATCAAGTCAAGTTAGAATAAAACCTACATACAAAGAAAAAAGACCAGTAAGTTGATTTATAGAGAAAAGAGTAGAAGTGTTGTTCTTGGAAGCATAATCAGGTATCAGAAGCATTTTGCATGATTCGTTTCCTCATTCAGAACAGAAGTGATTTGTGTTCAAAAAAACCATATTACAGTCTTGAGTTACGAAGTGCTTTGGGAAAGCAAAAAATCATTCTGTAGGTTTCCCTGAGTTTCCCTGAAATAGAAGTTTACCTTTGTCTTTTTAAATGCGCCACATATCAAATAAAATACTGGATATCACAGCACAATGTCATGCTCGCTGTCTAATGCAGTACCATCTGATCTAAGGCAAAGTAGGGTATAAAAGAGCTTCTGAGGACAGTTTCTGAAATATCTGTAGAAGCAAACTATTTTGAAGTATTTTTCCTGATTCCTCTACATAATAACATTATTGTTTTAGCTACAGAAGGACTTGAGAATACCAAGAGACCTCTAAACTGACTGAAGTGGTGTGGCATATGAATCTCTTGAGATTTAAATTCAAATGTGAAATTTAGAAACAATACATAGGGTAGGCTAAAACCAGAAGATGACTGCAGCAAGACTTTTGGAGATCTACAACACAATCTCTCCACATTTTCTCTCCAAGTTGTGGACAAGCCTATCATCCCTAATCGCTATTAAATGCTAACAAGTATTTGGCATTGATTTTAAGTACAGAATGAATGGGATTGGTGCACAGAGTAAGACTGTGTTAGCACCATACACTAGAAATAAAGCAAATGAAGCACAAAGCAAGCCCAGGAGGTTTTTAATAACAGAATCAAAGTCAGTGAAAGCACAGAAACAGGCATCCATAGGCAACAAAACAATTACAAGCTTCCTCTCTTTTGCCTCACAGAAGATAAAACTAAAGAAGTTTTGAAAAGCCACCTACTCTACTCTACTGCCCCAGGGCAAAACCACCTACACTTTAATATGTGAAGAATGTCTTGCCTAACTTGTTACAACAACAGGAAAAAAGCCCATGATAGAGACTTCAAAATGCATCTGCAACAGCCTACTTGGGATTTAGCTAGCTTTGCCATATCCATGCTTACCTCTATATGCAATAGGACTCAGACTAGGCCCTCTGAAGGCAGTCCATATCTGTATCTAGTTCTTACCTCAATAAATTCTTTGAGCTACACCAAAGGCAGATGCACACAGAGACAATAACAGGAAGGCTAATTTCACATAAATGCAGGCAAATACCGTGTTCAGCAGAATTCAACAATAATAGTAAAAAAGTGACAGAATAACTAAGGAAAGCATCCATATTATAATTTGTGTTTTTTCATTTACATCAAATTGTTATCACATAAGTTACAGTTAAAGCAACTATGCAGATGGAACTGACTGGGGTTTGATTTCTCCTCTGCCACAATAACACGTCATCTAGGATGAGCCAAGTAATTTTCCTGGGTATCTCTTCTTCTTACATAGCTGAGAGATAACAAACATAGTCCTGCTTGGTAAAGCTATTGCAAAAGCACAGTTTATACAGCAGAAACATGTCAAAATAAACAATAATGATATGAAGCGACTGCTAGCTTATGTGTGTCTAGACTAAACAGCTCACAGTATGATTGCTGCTATCAAAACACCATATAAATGTCTTCCCACATTTTTCAAGGACAAAAAGAAAAAGATACCATAGCTGCTACAGATGAGATTGAACACGTTATCAAAACGTATTTATTTTCCTCTAAGGAATCTGAGAACAATGTTCATCCCAAACCTGAACCAGAGTATTGCACTGATTAATCACAGTAATAAATAAAGCCTTATATTTCAGAACAATCCTCACCTGGATTCCCCTTTTCTTTAATAGATTGATACCAACAATATCTCTATAATCGTAGGAGACCATTTCCTTGTGATCTTCTGTGACATAAATGCGACCATTTGTCAGGCATCCATCAACACTGCAAACCAATAGCTTCACTTCTTTTAATGGGTCCTTGCCAAAATATCCAAAGCTAAGACAAAGAAATTATCTTTTCAAATAGAAGATTTTGGGCACTCCAAAAACAAATATTTCAAATACAATTGTGAACTCCAGGCAGAAGAACTGGTTTTAAAATTCTCATTTTTCCCCCCTAAGGTTTTCCCTTAGTATCTTTATTCTTCAACTAAATTCTCCCTCTTTGATTAAAAAAAGACCACAAAGCCAAAAGACAAGTAAGTTATGTTTTCCATTTAAAAATCAGAATGAGATTTACTTACTTAGCATAAAAGGTTATGTTTATATGGCACTTGTATTGGGAAAAAGCAAAATGGAGTAAAGGATGGAAAAAGTTCAGCAAACACATTCAATTTCCATCCACTATTTCCTTATAGAAATACAGAGGAGCTGCAAAGAAAAGGCAGCAGGCAAGTGTAATCAGCCCATATCTTCTATTTGGACCACTCTTCACACTCTACACAGCTTCCTGAAGAGAGACTGTGATGAGGAGGGTGCCAGCCTCATCTTCCAGGTAACAAATAGGGCCCAAGGAATGGCCACAAGTTGCACCAGGGGAGATTTAGATTAGATGTAAGGAAAAACTTTATCTCTCAAAGAGTGGTCAGGGACTGGAATGGCCTGCCCAGGGAGGTGGTGGAGTCACCGTTCCTGGCAGTGTTCAAGAGGCGTCCGGATGAGGTGCTACAAGATATGGGTTAGTAGCTTAATGCATAGTAAGGGTGATAGAAGAACGGTTGGACTAGATGATTTTGTAGTCCTTTCCAACCTCGTGATACTATGATTCTACTATTCTATGATTTAGTCATGTGCATGACCAACCATGTTCCAGGACATGTAAGCTTAACAAAACAACATCTAGAAAAAACAGAGATTACATTAATACATGGCTATGAGATATTGAGGATTACAGTCTTCCTTTTCCCCAGACTGAACATATGCAAATAAGAAACACATACAAATATATAGCAAAGGTAACTCAGATGATTTTAACAAAGAAAGGAAAAATAAAGTATTTCAATTATCTTGAATAATTTGTTAAATTGAAACTTAAAAAAAAAAAAAGCCTTCAAGTTCACAAGTTCACATGATCATTCTTTGAAACAATTACTAATTTTAAAGAAATAAAAGGAACTACAGTGCTCTTACCTCAATACTCTTTGCTCTGCAATAGGCCAGTCAATGTCTATATCAATATCCACACTGTGCTCAGCACGCATTTCATAGTAGGCCATTTTACCACCCTAAATAAAGTAGAATCCATTACAATTTTCTGCTCAAGTTAATACAACTACAAAATAGTACAATTTAGTACTATGTAATGAAAGCTAAATGTCTGGTTACGCTGCAGTCACAGCAGCTAAAAGGTAAGTGAACCATCAACAATGATATTTTGTCTGTTACACAGCACCAAATATTTGAAACTTTATAAAAGCAATGGTTAGTATCTTCCTTCCACAACTAGAGGAAGCATGCAAGAAAGATGATATATATTACTGTTACTAGGATGTACAGATTTCAGTAGGTCTTTTAATACAGTAAGATGGCAAACCTATTTTGCATGAGAAAGGTAAAGGATTATTTTTGTGGCTCTGTATTACTACGCCAGTATGCAAACATCAAGAGAGGGTAACAGACTGTTTAAACCACAGCATGAAACTGGCATAGGACAAAGGGTGTAAACTGGTCAAGAATACAAGTTCCTAGATTAAGTAAGAAGCCCATGGCACTACATTAACATAAGCTTTTCACTCAGTAATACTAAACTGAATTATAAGATACGTGCATAAAATAAACTTACGTGAAACTCAGTATTTTAGGCCTATATATATATATTATAAAATATTGTTTGTACAAATATGTTTGCTCTGAACTGCCCTGATTACAAATAGTCCTGTCATGTTACAAGAAATAAGCTAACTGTCCTGAGGCCAAAGTGCTGTTAGCAGACTGCGTAAGAAACAGAAACAACACGGAATTCAAATCCCTCTGTGACAAGAGTTAAAAGATACGTTATTATAAAGAGCCATGAAAACTAGCAGCACTAACCTGCAAGTAGCCTTTCTCGATCAAATGCCTCTTAGCAAAATAAAATGAACCATTTTCATACAGCTCCCCAGGCCAATCTTGCCGCCGGTACCGCTTTGCTGGATTCAGGTTTTGGGGCTCTGTCATTTTGTTTTCTGTTAACAGACAGAAATGGAAAAAAAACAAAAAACAAAAAACAAATTTTCCAGAATCCTCATTTAGAATTACTTAACAACTTTCTCTAAAAACTTTCTGTTGAAAAACTAAGAACACAATTCAGTCACCATCTTCTTTTATTATTCTCTCTCATGGCTTTCACTCATTTAAGAAGAATCACCAGATTTCTTGCTATTTCTCAGAGCTACGGATAGCAAAATGGAGGACTGTCCTCCCATCTCCTGGTACACGGTGGGGAGTGGTTTAGCTTTCAGAGAGGGTCCACAGAAAACTTTCAGCTATGTACACCTCGAAACCAGAATGCCCCAAACACCCGAGAGCTGAGGTGACCAACACTGAAATATTTCAGTGATAAAAGAACTAGGAAGAGAAATTTTGTCTGTGAAAATATCTTGGTACTTCTCCAATATACTTCCTATTTAGAGACACACATAACATTAACCATTTTCAATTTGTTCAATTAGCACTCACAAATAAACAAAACAGTGCCTCTGAACAAAGAAGATCCCCTAAGATCCCATGCTGTTGTCAATGCCAGCAAAACATGCAGCAGAAACTGAACCAGAGAGCAGAGATTTACCTCTAGTATCAAGCTTCACCTATTTCATTTTCCTTTAAAGCATGACACTTGGTAAACTCAGAGAAAAATACATCTGAAGCATAATATATCTCAATTAGAATAATGTTAATATTTGAGGAACACATTTGTTTAAAAAAAAAAAAAAGCAACAAAAAAAAACCAGATGAGACAGTATCTGAACTAGGCATTTTGAGGAAAAAAGGCACCAAACATTTATGCTTTAATCACAGAAATAAAAGCAACATAGACAATGGGGGGAATAGTTCTTTGTACAAGCACAGCTATGAGAAGATACAATCTTTATTTGAAAATAAAGACTTCAGTCCTCTTGGCAACTGTAGCTGAGAGGCATACTTGCTCTATGAAAAATAGTCATATTCCTCTATATGAGCTAATTACCATGAGTTCAGTCCTCATGAATCAAAGGGAGTTTGCAATTTCACATAAGTCAGCAGACAATTAGCAAATCTTAAGCCTCCAGGCTAGGAGGCTGTCATCCTGTCTTTACTAAGATCTTGCCTCACATACTTGCAACTTATTAGCTATTGCACAGTAAGATTAAACATCTCCCTAGTTAAGACATGACCTCAGTGTCATGTCCACAAAATCATGAAAACTCACCAAGCAGGCCTAAGCATGTAAATTTGGAAGTTATGTTTTGAGTTAACACGTTAGCAACATTTCCATTTTCAGCATCTTATTACTTCTAGAAACCAATTACAGAGTTTTTGAGTAATGATCAGTAATATTAAAACAGTGACACTTACAAGTGATCTCACACCTCCCCAGGAACCCAGCCCATGCTCATGATATAATTTCTAAATATAAATGCCCTGAGTATGAACAATAAACCCTTGAATAAAACTTTGACTAATTTTAACTGCAGCCACAAATAGAAAAATCTTACCTCCTTTTTTTACCTCGCTCCATCTAAACTGATGCCGTCTCACAACAGAGAAAACAGAATCGAAGCCCTCCTTTTGAATCAGATTTGCTACTTTTATGAGATCACTGGGATGTAGACAGGGAGATGTTGCTTGAATATTTCCTACAATATCGACCTCTGAAGAAAAATAAACATTTATTTATGAAACAATGAATATTTCTAATATATACAACCCCAAAGTGTGGGATGAGCAGAGGCCATAAAAGAAGGAAATCTTTCCAACTTTTATTTACTATAGACTTTAGTTATTTTTCTAAACAGTAAGTGAATCACCCCTCTGGGCCTATGACATAAAAACTCAGTGTGCCTCACTACTGATTTACCATGATGATGATTAAGAAACTCTCTGATAGTTTCTAGGGAGGTAGAGGAATCTTGAGACACTTCAGGGCTTCGGCGATGAACTTGAGCACCAAACTGCTTCGCAACCTTCTCAATTTCATCGTGGTCTGTAGACACCCACACACTGTTGGCAGACAGTGACAGAAATTAATGATCATATAAAGAACAATATCCAGCAAAAGGCTTGTCTGACACAATCTGCTCACCTGAACAATACCCCGTGCTATAACTGGCAATTAAAGGAACTAGTTCTTGTATTTGTGAAGTAAAACTGTATATTAGTCCAACAAGGCACTTTCAAGAACAGGGATAAAATATGCACCATGTACACTGTAAAAACTCAAGCCTGGGCTGCATTTCAGTTTAATGCTGTGAGGTGCCTGACCTGCCGTATATATATGTAGCGTAAGCAATGTAAAATTCAGATATGTAACCAGAAAATTCAATGCCAACTTGCCACAATATTAGGCATGCTAAAATATTACTGAATCGTGACAAGCTTGAACGATTTACTCAGAATAACAGCAGGGTTCAGAAACAAGGCCAACAGTAAGTAAAAGTGCCACTCTGTCAGAAGACAAGCTTGTTCTGCAAGAATTTTATAGTGCATCAACAAGGCTTCATAGAATCGCAGAGAAGGAGATGTTCAAGTGACAAACACATTGGTTTTGGCACCAGAAACCTTCAATACTGGTAAGGCAAGATTGTTAAAGTTCAGGGATAATAAACGTTTAGAAAGGGAAGGACCAAGTCTGAGCATTACGTGATGGTAAACACTTCTGTCTGAGTAAGCCACCTGTAAGGTGATTGCTGTCACCACTATGACAAAAAAAAAAAAAAAAAAAAAAAGTATGCACCATACAAAACCAAAAATTATGATAAAAACCTTTATTCTCTCAGAAATATTGGCGTCCTCTATGCACTGCACACAGCAAGTGGTGCTTTAGTTAATTTTTTTTCCATTCAAAGACATCATGAGATCATCAGAGCCAAACTGTATCTGAGTGACACAAAGTCACACCCATGTAAATGAATGAAGAGGAAGTCTTTGCCATAAGCTGCCTGAGCCTGGCTAATTCAAACAGTCACTGCCCATTTAACCAACAGAGCTTGGCTGTATAATGGGCAAAATGAAAAACCTAGGATGCATGCATCACATCCACACTAAGTCAGTATGGATTCACATGAATACCAATAATCTAGAAGCAATACACTGTCCCTTTATAAAAAAATAAAGTCATAGATGCTTGTACTTTTTAGAATAGAATAAAAAAGACTTTCCAGAGCAGACAGCAGTACAGCCACTGTGCAGACACGGAAGATGGTGCCATACTTCAGCACTGAGCCTGGCTGGGGCTCATTTCTGCACTTTAACACAAAACCTGAGAATCAAGTCCCTGCCCTTAGCACAGCCCAGCAGCTTGACATCAGGAAGTTGCACCCAGGTGTGCTGCACAAGGAGCACCCTCATCGTGCACTTCCTTCAGCTTCATCTATTAGTGCGTGTCTGAAAAATGCCCTTTTTGTGCTGGTAAATGGCAGAATCGTGCAACAGCCACATAGAAACGTGTAATAGCCAGCTAGAAGTGCGTCAAGCCCATAGAAGAGCTCCAAAGAATATCTCAAGTGTGCTCCACGCACCGCCACAAGCTGGGCTCCTTGCACACAGGCTGTTCCCTTCCCTTTGATATCTGCCCATCGCTGGACAAACCCGAGGGGCCGCCTCGGCCAGCCCGCTCCGGCCCACGGGAGCCCCCCGCCCGCGAGGGGGCCGATGGCGCATGCGCACCTGTGGAAGACGCCCGCGTCGAGGGCGGCGCGCAGCACCCATCCGATGAGCGGGACGCCCGCCAGCAGCTTGATGTTCTTCAGCGGGATTCCCTTGCTGCCGCCGCGCGCCAGCACCAGCGCGGCCAAATGGGCGCGAGGCTGCGCCTCATCCGTCTCCATGCCTCGTTCCTCTGGCGGGCGCTACCGCCCCGCCGTGCGCCACGCACCCCTCCCGGAGCTCTGCGTGCATGCTGGGAAGTGTAGTCCTGCGCCCGCCGCGCCTGCGCGCTGAGGCGGGGTCGGGGAGGGGAGGTGTCACGGTGGGGTTAGTGCTGTGGTTGTGTTTCTTAGCTGGGAGCGGGCTGTTCCCCGCAGTTGGTGCGTGGAGGGCTGTGGAAGCCCTAGATGATGAAGTCCTGTAGTTTTCCGTTGTCTGCTGTCGTAAATCTCAAACTTGAGCGGGTTGTATCACGTCCTTCCCGCGTGAAGAGTCCCGGCAGAGGGCAGAGTCCTCTCACGGAGACGCTTAAACGTGTGGAGAATAATCTTCCTTCACTCCTTGCTTCTGTTTCCCACCTGCGTAAAAGTTTGCTAAAACATAAAACCGATAATATAAATCCGCACAGGAAATCGAGGTTTTAAAATAATTTAAAGACTGGAAATGGAGGCTGCTGAGCATCATTAGGATGAGATAGAATGAGAGGGAATGGTCTCAAGTTGCACCAGAGGAGGTTCGGGATGGGTATTAGGAAACATTTCATCTCCAAAAGAGTGGTGATGCATTGGCACAGGCTGTCCAGGGAGGGATGGAGTCACTGTCCGTGGAGGTGTTCAAGCAATGTGTAGATGTGTCTCTGAGGGACGTGGTTAGTGGGCATGGTGGATTGGGTTTCTCAGATAGCTGCTACAGTGTTCAAAACATCTACGTGTTAAGTAGGAATGGGTATTTTGGTTCTTCACATTGTGAAAATGAAATGATTTATCAACAGTCTTCTTTTCTTCAGTGTGAGCTCATTAACTCCTATGTCACCTAGAACAGATATAGCAAACAGATTGTTTCATATCCCTTCACAGCAGGCAGATGCCTATTTAAAAATAAACACTTTCTTAACTCTCATACTTTTCCACTTCAGAAGCATGCCTGTTAGTTGAGTCTTCCTCCTAATTAAAATCTCCTAGGCTTCTGGTCATTCCCATTATTCTCATCTAGACTCCTCACAGTGTAGGACTCAGTATTAGAATCACAGAATCATAGAATTCTTAGAGTTGAAAGGGACCTTTAATGATCGTCCAGTCCAACTCCCCTGCAATGAACAGAAGCATTCACAGCTAGATCAGGTTGCCCAGAGCCTGATCCAGCCTCACCTTGAACATCTCCAGGGATGGGACACCCACCACATCTCTGGGCAACCTGTTCCAGTGCCTCACCTCCCTCTCCGTAAAAGGATTTTTCTTTATATCTAACCTAAATTTACCCTCTTTGAGCTTGAAACCATTTCCCCTTCTTCTGTCACCACAGACCCTGCTAGAGAGTCTGTCCCCTTCTTTCCTGTAGTTTCCCTTTAGATAGTGAAAGGTCACTACGCGGTCTCCCCAGAGCCTTCTCTTCTCCAAGCTGAACAGACCCAGATCTTTCAGGCTATCCCTTGGATCATTTTTGTGGCCCTCCTCTAAATGCACTCAAACACATCTATGGCTCTTCTGTACTGAGGACTCCACATCTGTACGCAAATATTAAGCAGAACACTGCAAACGAGGGAAGCAGGAGAATTTTTACCTTGTATGCCTTGTAGATTGTACTTTCTTTTGTACATCTCTGTGTAGTTTTTTCTTTTCTTGCACAATATTGGCATAATTCAGCCAGTGGTTCACTTTGCTTCTAACACTTGCAAGAGCTGTTATATAGCCAGACAGCTCCCAGCTGTGTTTTTGCATCTGGCAATACCTGAGCAAATGCAGAATCTTGAATTTATTCTTAAAACAACCACTTCTGTCTCCAACTTCAAACATTTTAACATAAACTGTGTTCCCTCAGCTTATTTATGTGGAAGGTGTGTGAGATATTGTCAAGACTTCTACTAAACTAAAGGTGTATGCACAAGATCTGCTCTGTCTTTCTGTAGCCACAAGCATGGTCTTGTAAATTGAAACTATACTGATGTGACTTGTTCCAGGTAAGTTATTATTGCCCGCAATAAATTGATAGAATTTTTACCAAAGCTTGTTGGTTATTGATTCCAGCATTTTTCCCAGATCTGGGGTTAGACTAATGGTCCAAATACATCTGTATCAATATCTTTAGGTCAGATCAAGCATGCACGTCTGAACTGAGTCTCAAAGTGCGTAAACTTTTACTATGTCCCAATAAAGCAGATATAGTGGTTAGTTCCCAGCCTATTCCTTTTTCAACATAGGTTGCATTTTATGCCTTCTGGTCTTGGTAACTCAGATTTCATCAGCCAACTGTTTAAATATCCAAGGATGAAATTCAACTCTGAGCTAGTTTGAATATGTATTACTGACCTAAATACATTCTGACTCGTCTTTTCCGTATTTGTACTGTCATCTTGCTCCTGAAGATAAGAATGCTTGCTCTTCTAATAATAGAGCTATGGAGAACAAAACAAAGAATATAATACTTTGTTTCTTTGGAACATGCACTCTGTTTTATATAATCGTGAAACAGCCTGCAGGCATAGGTTTCCCAGAGTGGAGGAGAGGGTTTCAGCTCTTTTGTTAGTGCTAGCGGACATTCCCACATCATGTAATGTGCTGTACAGTCTCATGACTGCACAGCCTGCCTGCCCTCAGTCCTATCATGTTGGACTATCTGTGAACAAGTGGAACCAAACCAGATCATTTCAAGGAAGTATGCTGATATGCTAACGAAAATAGTGGGAATAAATCTATTTTGAAAATATGTTCCATGCCATACTACTCCACTGGGGATAATAAAATCTGCAAATTTCCTTTCTGATCACAGTTTCACTGCTATAAAGTACCACATTTTGTTCTTGCTCAAGAAAAAAGTCCATTCGTTCATGTCTGTGCATGAGAGCAGGGAGACAAATTAACAAAATTTGAGGCATTATGTAGATATGTGCTGAGGTGTTACTATAATCATAGTTAAAATGAGATGATCTACAATGTAAATGTTCAAGTTTTGGCTTGGCTGGGCCACACTGAGTAAAGAGGAATTGTCTTGGGCTGCGTATATACACAGGCTTCTCCAAAAGTAATGCCTTTTGTTTATTTCCACTGAAACTACAACAGATACAATAAGCACAGTAACTCTGTTTGATAGAGCAAATTCTCAGCTCAGAACACTGTTTTGCAACATAGTTACCACCATTAGTTATGCATTTTTGCCCACAGTGAGCAAGAGTCTGCATGTCATGCTTGTCAAAACCTGTATTGGTGGGAGTAACTCAATATTGCTGTCGTCGCTGTTGAAACTCACCACCTCACTATGATCACATCCACTGTTCGGTCGCCATAAACATTCAGCAAGTGTTAATGAATGTCAATGGGTGCAACTTTTCTTCATGGAGGAATTCAGTGACACACCTTTGCTTTATTTGCACTTCCATGTCAGACTCCATTCTGTCAGACTGCTCCTTCTGCTGCCATCACACAGCAACAAAATGTGATGGAATATTGGTGGGAAGGTTCAGCTTCTACTGCTGTTACCGCCAACTTCCACCTCTGATGTTGTGGGTCAACATCATAAAACAAGAGGCATTACTTTTGGAGCAGCCCTCATAAAATATATATTATTATTACTGTGTATGAGAAACAAAACTTGTATTAACTGTTAATATTTTCATTAAAACATATTAAAAAAAAAGAATTAAAAATATAAAACTAGTGGGATAGTTGACCTTGTTTTTGTGGCGCTAGCATCAGTCTGTTTCAATGGCAGCTGTTGCAAATCTTAGTGAGTTATCAAGGCGTTAGTTAGACTTTTGATGAAGTTTCCTGTACTTAATCTTCCTATACTTAATTCTTGACAACAGCTGTTCACAAATGTGTGTACTGTCTAGAAGTGATAACATGAATAAGATGTGATTGTGAAGCTAGGGATATTTTTCTCCGGTCTTAAAAAAGTCTGGTAAAGAGACATGGTAAAGAGATGATGATATTTGAGTTGAATGTCTAATAATGTCTAAATATTCTGTTCAAAAATTTGCAAGTAATTTGTTTACGACAACTGAAAATGGAATCACAAATATAAATTGGTGGTTTTTTCAGTAATCTTGAAACTTTTATCAAAATTCCTTTATCAAAATGGAAAGCGCAGCTTCATATTTTTCTCTGTTCACAAGAATGTGTTTAGCCAAATATAAAAATACATACTATGATTTGCCATAACTTGAGTGAGTTGACACTGAACTTCCCTTGCTCTGGTTTCAGCCAAAACATCTTAGACAGCACACCAGTATTTGGTTGTTGTGAGCGATGGGTGCATGCCCAAAGCTAGGATGGGCTGCTCTGCAGGGCAGAGCCACTGTCATGATGGCAATGATGGCATGGGGCAAGGGATGACTGCACTGTGAGCCAGGCTGGACTACATGTGGCCCCTGGGCCATACGCTGGACATGCCTGAGAACACTTGGATGGCTATCGATTTCTTTCATGGTTAGGGCATTGCTTTTATAGACAGTATACAACTTAAGAACAAAGTGTATCAGATTTGTCTGAACAAGAAGCATCACTAGAACTGACCACTGTGGTCTGCTTTCAGACTAACATCCACTGAACTGGCCATCACGGGATCTACCATGTCCTCCATCTTCTGAACTATCTGTCATGAGTTCTACTCTACCCTCCATCTTCTGAACTTCCTGCTGTGGATCCGCCCTTTCTGCCATTCACACTGGCTGCAACACTGCTCTTAGCCTTTAAGACTGAAAAAGTGTGTAACAGTGATTCTCTGAAGCTCACAATGGAGCTTCATGAGGCATAGCCTTTGTGGTATGTTAGAGAGCGCTTGACTTCTTAAAAACAACAGTAAACTGCTGTTGACATAACTGGGGCCAGGCTTTAATTTTGTATGCCTGAAATTCAGTTCTGTTAATGTCAGTAGGGCCCCAATTGGTTCCAACTGCAGGTTTCTATCTTTTTCTGGAATATGCCTAACAGTGAGTACTGCAGAAACAGATAAGAGAGACACATGGAAGCATGTAGTGGAAACCTCTGTCAGTGAATAAGGGACACATTACACCTGAGTGAACTGAAAGTTACTCTTTCTATGT